AAGGTATTGTTGCATGGAGGAATTTCCCATTTGGATTGTGTGGAGTTCGTTCTTGAGTTGAATAACACGAGAACGAATATTTGGTTGCATTCGTTTTTCAAGTGTTTTCCAGACATCCTGTGCGGTGGGACAAGAAAGAATGTGAGGAAGTATAGCAGGGGAAATGGTGGAGAAAAGAGCCGAAATGAGGTTCCGATCTATCAGCGTCCATTTGAAGAACTCGTTGCTGGAAGCGTCCAATGGGCAGGGAAGATTTCCGGTGAGATAGCCGGAGAAACCATTCGCAGAGAAGTGCTGAAGAATCTGAATACGCCATATGTGATAGTTTTCCGCAGAGAGCTGATAAGGGACAAGAGTTTTGAGATTAGAAATTAAGAACTTGAGTGGCGCCGGCACCGTGTAGTCGGAGGAGCTGCCGGAGTTGATGTATTGAGCGGGTGGAGAGGACACGGCGGAATCTTGATCAGCCATGAGAAGGTCCTAGCTCTGATACCATGAAAGAAAGGAACGGAGCTAGCGGGAGAAGACAAGAAGAAGAAACAGAAACTGAATATCTTGTTATTGAGTTAAAGCAGAGGTAATACATGCCTTAATATAGGCGTAACAGGGAAAGTAAAATATTACAAGTATGTCCAATACTAAATCTAATAACAGATTCCTAACATTGCAAAGTTTGTAAAATCATTTCTAATGAAAATTTATGTATATAATATAGTTTATTAGTTTTAGAATTTAAAAGGAAGGGATGAATTATAAAAACTAAAGTAAAATGTTGTCTTAATATTAGATTGGGGCATTTAAAAAACACTAACAAAAATATTCTTGAGAGTAAGATTCAAAATCTTATTGTTTTGACTGTATATAAGAAAAATATATTATGCTATAAGAAAAATATATTATGCGGAAGAAAGTAGGGTGGTTTAACCATGTATTTTCCTACTTCAGTTGGATTATAGCAAGGATCAACTTTAAGTCCATATCTTTCAAACAACCTTCAATTGCATATAGGCTACTGGTCATTTAATCTCTCCTCATTCTAGAAGAGGGATTATCATGACCATTTTTAATCACCTATCAACTTCAAGCCATTTAGTTCCTCTTCTTTTAAGGGAGGGATTATCTCAATTTTATTGTCTCCATCAACATCAACATCTTTAGATTTCCTTCACTAAAAATCATAGTATATATTCACCAGAGTTTGAATATTATAGTTTATATTGACATATTCTTGAACTTAATATAGTCTCCTCCTCTACACTGAAAACACAGTAATTTCCAACTTTAACAATAAACCCGGGTGCATTAAATTTACTTAGCAAGATATAATGAAATTATAATTATAGCCTTGCCAACCATCCTTCTCCACGTCCCTTTAGCTGAGTGGCCTTCTCCCCATAAAGTATAACACATTTGCACTTGTGTTCTAATAAATATTTTTATAACTATGTAGGGGGACGTTTGCTTCAACGTCCAAATGACTATCCAAGAAGAGAGATATTGGATGTATAACAGATTATTGCCTGGTCGAAAAGGATTGACAGTTGAATTTATACAGGGAGTTGAAACTTTCATTCAAGTTGCATCTCAACTGCCTTCCTTTCAGTTTGATAAAATGTTTAGATGTCCGTGTTCAAAACATAAAAATCTAGCATTCCTGAAGCCCGATGATGTGAAGCTTGATTTATATCGTAGGGGATTTGTTCCAAACTACTGGATTTGGACATCACATGGCGAGTACGAGCCACACAGAGATGCTCATGCCAGTTCATCTACAACTTATGAAATATTTGATGAAGATCAAATGAGTAGATCCTATGAAGACCTTATTTTTTAGGATTATATATTTTTTATGTTTGATGATTGTATTTAGAACTTGTGATTGTAACCTTATTGAATTTAGAACTTGATGAACTTGTTTTATGTTTGATAAACTTATTTAGAATTTTTTAATGTTTGATTGTAAACTTGTTTATTTAATTTATGGTTATGTATATAATTGTGATGAATATAGCGGCGTGTTGCCCAAAATATCTTATTATATATTGTTATATCTGCAGGTTTAGAATTTAGGGTGAACCTCCCTCAAATAGAGGGAATGCTATAAATTTTTTTTTCAGGTGCTACAGGTTTCCGGCGGCCAACCAACGCCGGTAACTATGATACCGGACGGCTTAAGCAATGCCACCGGTAATTCCCTTAAACCGCCGGTACTATACCGGTGATTACCGACAGCTACCGGCAGTTATCCGGTGAAATCCCGGCGGTGTATGCCGCCGGTAATACCGTCGGCCTTGACCGCCGGGCGCCGTCGGTAAAATAACCGGTGGTATACCGACGCTAGCCGGCGGTTAAGCGAACACACAACGACCTCTTTAACCGCCGGCATACTGTCGGTAAAGTGACCGCCGGTTAGCCGTCGGTAATATAACCGGCGGCTCAAAGGCCGAAAAACTGCCGTTTACAAATCCGATAGTCACCGGCGGTATACGTCGCCGGAAAATCGCCGCCTAACAGAACCGCCGGTACTAAGCCGCCGGTAAAAGTTTCCTACGCCAATTATATCGGCGGCGTAAAAACCGCCGAGAAACTGCCGGTAAAATTTAAAATTGCCTGTTTTGCCTTTCTAACCACCGGAAAAAACCGCTGGTTTTTAGCGTTTTTCCTGTAGTGTTTTGAGGATGGGCAACCTCAATGCGGCATGTTTCCGCCCATGATGCGGTGAATGACCAAGGGCTTGTGATAGGCTTGATATTGTGGGAAGGTTGTAGTATCATGGAAGCTATGTTGCACCGATACGAATACAACGACATGGATATGACACAATATGGATAAGGGACACGTCAGTTATTAAAAATATAGGATACGAGTACGACGCGGATACGACACTATAATTTATAAATCATACATAAAAATTATCTAGTACAACAACAAAAGCATAAACATAAATTGTCTAGCACATGAAGTTTCAACTATTTAATAGAAGGAATGATATGCTTAGCTTCTTATGGGTTTTTCATTGAACTTCTATATGATCTTCAATAAATATCATAGCTTCTAATTCAGGCTCAGCAAGTGAAAGATTAGTAATTTTTAATATTCTTATATCATCAAGAGTCTCAAATCCATCTCTGAAATGAGAGAACCTCTCTCGCAGCCGCAGAAGTAAATACAATGGGTATTTTTTTGGACTTTTTTTTGTTTTTCAGTGGACACGAGTATATAAATAGTCTTTTAATTGGATATGACAAAGCCGTATCCGACATGTATTGGTGCTATATCGAGGTGTATCCGTGTATTGGTGTGTCGGATACAGCACGCCTTCATAAATAGGTGTATCAGTGCAACATAGCATGGAAATGATCTTTTGGCACTCAACACGCCTTCTTAAAAAATCTTGTAAGTTCTTTCAAAGAGCTATATTTTTTCCATCTTCAAATATGTTATTAAGTGGTCTATCCAAGTCAAAGAAAGCTCCACCTCTTCATGCATCACTTTGTATTCTTTGATGTTCAGTCATGACACCTGGTTGGTCTCCTATTAAGCTACCCAAGTTTGACAATAAGATAGTGAGTTAATATTGTTCCCTAGAAATTTTGAAGCATTCAAATTGAATCTCTGCCTTTACCACATAGGGATACTTCTGCAATATCAAATCACAAAATTTGTATCATAATTTATTTGACTTACAAGTAGCTAGGAGTCTGAGTAGGCGATGAGTTACATCAAGCCCATTCCAAAAATGAATCTTAGCATGCGAGTAGATCCTCATACTCAACTTGATTATTGGAGATTTGAAACTTCATTTGGCTAGCTTAAGAGATAATGATTCCTTTATAGCTCTTCAACAATATGCATGCAACTACTCTATATATGCTTCCATGAGGCACTATGTATGTATAATATCCAAGCTTGGTCTTCTTTCTTTTCATCTCCTCTTTGTGTTGAGGTGGTTGAAATAAATGAGGAAGATAATGAGCGCTTGAGCATTAGCAGTGGCCCATGTCATGCATGTAGGAGATCTTAAATTCATTTAGTTCCACTTATCACTTGAGCAATCTTTCAAAGTGATTCAACATGGTGAATATGGCTTTAAGGCAATATATGATGGTGACTTAAATTGAATTAGCTTGAAGTAGGGTCGCATATCCTGTGCTATGGTCAGAAAAGCCTACACTAACTTTTTAATGATGGTTTTTTTTTGTTGGGCACCTCCTAGGATTTTGCTCATATATTAGACCAACAATTATTTTTTCTCTTCTTCTCAAACCAGTATGGAGCTAGTGATTTATTCAATAATATTCAAGCTCACACAATGATAGATTAATTAAACTCCAATAAATATTGGTATTCATGTCACACTCTATGACGACCCCTTTAGATCTACACGAGACGTACAATGATATTTAAGAAAAATAAATAAATAAATAAGACATACAAAGATACATACTACTAACTATTTGTCTATCACAATTTGTAAATTAGGAGAATTTATACTTTTACAATATTCACTTGAGCGAAAACATCTTAATTTTTTTTATTTATTTAACTATAGAGCTTCTAATATACATCATGATTTTTTTTATATCATCAAAATTTTCTTAATTGGCATATCTAACTATGTTTTATCTTACAACAAAACTATCACCTAAACAAAATAGTACTTGACTATACTTTATCATTACATTTATTTGAAATAACTTTCAACATAATATTATATGAGCTAAAAATATTCAACAAGATAAAAAAACTCTAATACATAATTCAAATATTATAAAAATTCAATATTCAATTCTCTCTCAAAATTTAGGTAGGACGTAATTACTTTTTAGAGTAAAATTTTGTCTAATCTATCTCCAATTATCTCTCAAAACATCACACGTTCTCCACTCTCCTAGCAAGATCCAACCAATGGCTGACTTTATCAGGATGACATTAGCTTGATCCAACGGCTGGGCTTATCGCTTGATCAACAGCATGGCTTGGCCGTTCCGCTTACCCTAGACCCATTCTATTCTGCTACCACGCCAAGATTGGATTGGCGGTTCCGCTTTCTCTCTCTCTCTCTCTCTATTTAGGCGACGCAGCAGGCTCTGGAGACGCAACCATCTGTTGAATCCGAGGCTCGATCTCGGATTCAGCATCCTAACGATTCCAATCTCTTAATTGATCGGCTTCTCTACGATCTTATTCGAAGGTTCTTCAACTTTCTCCCGCTTGATTGCCCCGCAAGATCTCTGTTTTTCCCCTCGCTTTGATCTGGAATATTTGATAGAGTGCGATCATTATTGCGTTCTTCGTGATTTTTATGCTTTTGATGTGCTAGGGATTGGATATGCGTTTTAGATCTTTAAATTTTCTTGCCGTGTGATTTTATGTTTTGTTTGGTCGAGTGCCCGCGTCCAATTTCGACAAAGTTATGAATTTTAACCCGTATTTCGGTTTTCATTTATTGTTGTTGTTTTTTTTTTCTCTTTTGTTAATATAGTTTAATTTGTATTTGCTGACTTTTTAAATGTTTTTTCTTTGCCATTGAGTGATCGAAGCAGTTTCGGTACACATATTATTTGTTTTTTATGGTTGGAAGTGATTTCTGTTGCTATTTTTTTCTTTCACTCCATGTTGATTTTGTGCCTTAGAAAGTATCGACATTTTTACCTTTTTTTTTCGGAAGTTAGATCTACCTGTATATTATTGCTTAGACTTATTTATTCAGATGCATGTTTTTTTTTTTAATCTACTCCTGTTTTATCCATTGTGATCTAAAATTGGCCTGACAACTGGGCGGAGAGCTGAATACACCAAACTAGTATTTGAAGAAACATATCAACAATCGATTATTTTATTTAATTTTTCGTTTTTTCTGCAAGTAAGAGAATGACATGGTGTTTTTTTATACGATTTAAATGTTTTTTATTCTTTTTTTTTTTTTTTTTTTTTGATCATGAGTTGAACATTGTGTAATTTTATGACCTTCTGATTGTTTCCATTTCATCATTGCTGAATTTAACTATTATTTTTTCCTCCTGTTTACAGACATGGCTGGACTGGCGCAGGATGGATCTCAGTTTGATGGTGCAAAATATGATTCCAAAATGCATGAATTGTAATGCATATTCTCTTCGATGTATTTAGTTCATATTGCTTTATTCACTTTAGAACATATTATGATTTCATCTCATTTTTTGTGTATGAGCTAGGCTTGCACCACAAGATGGGCAGGATTTCTTCACATCATATGATGAAGTATATGAAAGCTTTGATGATATGAACCTCCAAGAAAACCTTCTGAGAGGCATTTACGCCTATGGTACCCCTCTAACTATAAGCTATGCAAGCCTCGTGATTTTGCTGTCTGGTTTTTAAAGTTGACATGGCGGTTTCCCTTATAGGTTTTGAGAAGCCGTCAGCAATTCAGCAAAGAGGAATTGTCCCCTTCTGCATGGGACTTGATGTCATTCAACAAGCACAGTCTGGAACTGGGAAAACTGCAACTTTTTGCTCTGGAGTTCTGCAGCAACTTGATTATGGACTAGTTGAATGTCAGGCCTTAGTACTTGCGCCAACCCGAGAACTTGCACAACAAATTGAAAAGGTCATGAGGGCACTTGGTGATTACCTGGGCGTCAAAGTCCATGCTTGTGTGGGAGGAACTAGTGTTCGTGAGGACCAAAGGATTTTGTCCGCCGGTGTTCATGTTGTTGTTGGCACACCTGGGCGTGTGTTTGATATGCTGAGAAGGCAATCTCTTCGCCCTGACTACATCAAAATGTTTGTTCTGGATGAAGCTGATGAGATGCTCTCACGGGGCTTCAAAGACCAGGTTCTTCAATCTTCCTTTTGGTCCAACTTTTCTTCATTATCCTTAGTCAACTAAGGAGTTATTTCTAGCTTTAGATTTGTGTTAAAGCTACACTGTTATAATAAAGCATTATTAGTTGTCGTATAAGAAATCTTATGTTTAATTTTTCACGTGCTTTGGTTAACTCTCTGTATTACATGTTTATGCTATATTCATGTGTTTGATCATTAAATGCATTAAGCACAATTAGAAAATGTTAATCCGAGGGCACCAAGCTAATTTGTTTGAGTAAATTCAATGATAACTTTCGAGTTGTTGTTGGATGATTGTTGTCATAGTTGCTTAGCAGTTCAAAGTTCATCAATACATTGATCTCTCTGGCTACTAAATGGAGGACAATTGGATATCAACATCATTCTTTTGATTATTTGTGAGATAAACAAGAAATTAGGGGAAAAGTGAATAATTGAAATGTCTAAAAGAACGTAGGTGAACAATCAAAAGGTGTCGATCATTGGTTTGGATAAATTGAAAACCTCACATCATCGATCTTTGGTCAGATTGAGTTTTGAAGATCGCCATCTATCATCAATATTTGGTCTAACATAAGGTCTATGCTTCCTCCTTTGATCTCATGGTCTATATATAGTGAGTGATTTCTTCTTCATCACTAGCATTACATTAGCTCAAAGCTCGAGGGTGGCTTTTAGATTAACTTTGAGAGCAGGCTAATGCAATTGATAAGTGATTGGCAATAAACATAGATTCATTAAAATGACTTGAAAACGTTTTCGGTTTTTATCTGTTTTGGCTTGATTTGACTTCTTGTAACTATCCATGTTCTCTTTTGCTTTTGTGGATTGTTTTGGTCTACATTACATCTAGATTAGATATAAATTACAGTACTCATCAATCAAAATCATAAATTACCTCTAAGCATTGTCAATAAGTATCCAAGCATTTAATTTTTGCAAGTATCCAAGCTTTTTGCTATGTAAAAAAGGTTAGTATTCAATTGCAGGCTTATGCAATTGAATCTGTTCTTTTAAGAAATTGTGATGCATTCAATTGGGTGACCAAATGATCTTAGAAGCTTTTAAAATCGTGTATTTTACTTGTTTTAATGATTGTATTCATCATATCCCATATTATTTTATCCTACATGAAACATGCTGTATTCCTTATGCCTGCAAAGTTTCGTATCTCCCTGATTTCTTAAACTCTTTGTTTAATTTTTTTTTTTGTTTTACAGATATACGATATCTTCCAGCTTCTTCCTCCTAAAATCCAGGTTGGAGTTTTCTCTGCTACCATGCCACCCGAGGCCCTTGAGATCACTCGCAAGTTCATGAGTAAACCTGTCAGGATACTCGTGAAGAGAGATGAACTCACCCTCGAAGGTATCAAACAGTTTTATGTGAATATTGGCAAGGAGGAGTGGAAACTGGAGACCCTCTGTGACCTATACGAAACCCTTGCTATTACCCAGAGTGTGATCTTCGTGAATACCCGGCGCAAGGTTGATTGGCTCACCGACAAGCTCAGGAGCAGCGATCACACAGTCTCCGCCACACACGGAGACATGGATCAGAATTCTCGCGACATCATCATGCGTGAATTCAGATCCGGATCATCTCGAGTTCTCATAACAACTGATCTTCTTGCTCGAGGCATCGATGTGCAGCAGGTTTCTTTAGTCATAAACTATGATCTGCCGACCCAACCGGAGAACTATCTCCATCGCATTGGACGAAGCGGGCGATTTGGAAGGAAGGGCGTTGCAATAAACTTCGTCACCCAGGAAGATGATAGGATGCTTTATGATATCCAGAGGTTCTACAATGTGGTGATCGAGGAGCTGCCATCGAATGTTGCCGACCTCATATAGGTTCAAGGGGAATCTCTTTAGTTGATCATTTAGGTGTTGATCTCTGCAAACTTTTTTTTAAACTTGTTTGAGCGGTAGGGATTGGGATCATTGTTCTTAGTTTCTCTAGATCAAATTATTATTGCTACATCTTTTGTTTTTCAATTTTAGATTTTGTTATTGTTTCTAGGTCCTGCTGCTTTAGTCTTGTGTCTGAAACAGTTGTTATGGATAAGTTATATTGTTCTTCTTCTTTTAATTGTACTATCTTTTGTTTTGTTTGACAGTTTTTTTTTTTATTCTTTAAACTACATTTCTAGTAAAAAAATATTTTGAATTTGAAAATTTTATATTAAAAATTTGTTTTAAAAATTAATAAAAAAAAGTTATCCAAAATAAAATCTTAGGAGTATTTCTTACAGCCTTTTGAGGTTGTGATTTGAAAACATTTAACTTTAATTCCTCAATGACTTTTAACTTAATTTTTTTTAATATAATTATTGAAGATATGAAGGTCTTGTGATGATAATTCCATGAGGACTTGTGCTCCTATAATGGAGCTTTTGTGCTATGGATGGCTTCCCTTGCGCTTGAATATATGTTTAATGTATGGACAATTAGGCCTCCTGTAAATAAGACAACACTTTCATTTGTCATTTTTCATAAACTTAATTATTTTTCCAAACATAATTTAAAATTTATATACATCTTATTTAAACTCTTTATTACGGCTAAAAAGTTACTATTTTGCACCCTTATATGGAACACATTTAGGCTTTGTTGGGATGGCTTTCTTAATTCTTTTTAAATCAATGTTCTAGTTAAAAATTTTTAATTTTCATATTTCAAAGTTGTTTTAAGAAGAAATAAAAAAGTAATCTCAAATATAGCCTTAGGTTTTGTTTGAGGTCGTTTTCTTGCTGCTTTCTTATGTTTTATTTGTGACAATTTTCTTTCAGTTTTATAAATAAACTTTTTCGTACAAAATTTTTTTGAAATAAAAATATTTGTATTAGAAAATTGCTTTAAAAAGTAGAATGAAAACTAAGCCAACCGAAGCATTAAGCAATTTTTTGGCAAAAAAAAAAATTGAAAGCAAAGAAAACAGCATTGGTGAAGCCTTATATTCAATAGAATGATCTATGATATATTTTCTATTTGTCTAATTATCATAAGTGATTTTATCATTTCACCACAAACCGTCATGATTTTGATGGGTTTACAATATCCTCCGCCTCCACAGTTGCTTCGGTCATCAGCCTTGGTTGTGTATGGAGCCTTTGCAGTCTTCGGTCATAGTTCTGCCATTCCATGATCAAATAATCTTTCCATCCTATATTATTATAAAGCTTAATATAATTCAATTTAGGTTTCTTTTCTGTTCAGAAGACACTGTAAAGGTGCAACATTGTTGAGCTTTAAATCTAATCAGGGAATTGTTTAATAAGCAATTATCAAATAAATAATGATCAAGCTAACAAAAAGGTTTTAAAGAACCATTTTATCTGAGTTTATCAAAATTTTCATCAAGCTAATTGTTGTGGGCTAGAAAATTTATGGAGATAGAGAGATAGAATATTCGCCATGGTTGGTCAGCGAAATGTCTCACGGCATCGGTGGGATGGCGAATGTCCGAAAATGGCAATCGGGAGGCTTAGGTTCAATGGAAACAGTTGGGCAACCGAGGTCAAGTGGTGGTGATTGGGTAATGAAGGTTCGAGATTTTCACATTGTGGGCCAACGAAAGGTCCGATGACAACATTGTGGGTCCACCTTTATGTAGAGAGTGTGTATATTTATAGATTTTTAGGAGTAGCATGCCCTGTAAATGTGAAGAAAATCTAGAGCACCTATTAATTTTCACAATAATTAATAATTTATTGGCATTTAATATCTAAATGATGTAAAAAAAAATAAGCAATTTTGATCATTGGATTTGTCTCTTTTAGCCACTCGATTGAACAATGCCAAATTTGTAAACCATTTGATTATCTAATCAATGTCATTAAGTTTTTAATTATGCTTATGATATAATCGAGTTTTCTTATCAAGATGTTCAATTTAACGATAAGTTTGTCAAAATCAAAGTTCAAACGGTTCTAAATTTAATTCAAGAATTTTTTGAGCTAAAAAATAATTTTAAAAAGAAGAAAATTGCCCCAAACGAAGCTTTAGCCTCTCAACTTTTCAAAATTGATCTCGATTTAATCTCAAACATCTCATTTTTAATAAACTTTGTATAATCAAAAGGCTAAATTAGAACAATATTATATATTGAGATTAAAAAAATGATCATAAATGAATAATCCGGGTATTAATTTAAACAGCTATAATAATGTATAATTTATATGTTTTCTTCAATAATAATGTGTAATACTTAAACTTTTAATTATTAAAAAATTTGGCATAGCTGGCCATCTGTTCGATTCCCGAATGAAACAGATAAGTTTATAAACGCTATGTCAAGTATTCTTCTCCCACGTGTCAGCACTGGCATTACACGTGTCAACACTTGCATCAGACGTGTCCTCCTTCCCCCGTCCCGTCAGTCCTATTTATTTAGTCGCACACAGCCTCCTCCTTAACACTGCATCAATCGTCGACGACTCTCTCAATACTATTCATAAATCCATGGATGCTCAAACAGTCCGGCAACGCTCCAAAGATGGATTCACTCGCACGGATGACCGGAAAACCATTCATGAGAAGAAACATGCGAAGGCTCGGCGCGGGCTCCGTTCACTCGCGGTCGCCGTGGCCCTCCCTCTCGTCCTCTCCCTCCTGTCCTTCTCCCTCTCATCGCCGCTGCAACCCAAGCCAGATGACACATCCCACGTGTGGCATCCGCCTGCATGGACGATGAACGTGGCGGCGGCAACAACGGCTGGCCTAATTGGCCTGGCGGCGTGGCTGGTTTGGGCTGAGGGTGGCATGCGAACTCTGGCGCCGGTCATACTATACGCCGCCCAGTTTGCCCTCGGGCTTGCGTGGGCACCGTTCGCCGGTGCTGGTCGGGTGGGGCTCGTGCTCAGCTTGGCGAACGTGGCTATGCTTGCGGGATGTTCGACTTGTTTCCGGCGGATCAACCCCTTCGCCGGCAACCTGGTCAATCCTTGCATAGTTTGGGCGGCGTTCTTGGCATTTCTTAGTTATAGGATGATGTGAGAGGCGAGTTTGTGTTTGAAATTGAGTGCTGTACGTAGGTGAATAAGTTGGACAGAAAGTTAAATAAGGAATTCATTCAAAGATAATTCTACAAACTGATGTTCTCTTTACCATTTCAAATTGAAATTTGTGTGCTCATCAATTTGTCAATGTACTTTTTTTTAATTGTGTTTATATCTAGCATTAGGGGCAATGTCCAAACACATACATAACACATATATGAGACTTGAACCTAGGACCTCTTAGTTGGGAGTCAAACTTCCAATCAACAAATTAAAAATATCTTTAATCAAGTTTCTAAGAGATGTCAATTTATAAAGTTTCAAGACCTTATTGTCGAAGGCAATTGAGGAATTGATCATGAACCAAGTCTAAAAATAAAAGTCAACATATGCGTGTGTCTTAAATAGTGTGTGTGTTATCATAACAAATTTTTTCTACAACCTCAAACTTACATGCTTATTTAAAATTATACACATAAATAAGACCTTAAGAGAAAATTAGGAGGTAATTTGAATAAAAATATTTCTGAAGGTTAATGAAGTACTGCCGGCCAAACAGTATTCAGAGGATCGTTTGGTGAAGCCGCAAGGACCGCTGGTGATTAGAGATATCTCAGAAAAAGCGCCCAAGAAGATTAAGTATGTGGAAGGTAAAGACAAAGGAGTAGATGAATCTGGTATCTTTGTTACTCCAGGTACTGATAAAGTTGGTTATGCTATTAGTTCGTTGGATCCCGCTGCATCTTCTTTAGGGATGAAAATTTTTGTTAATAGATTTTTGAATTCAAATGCTATCCCTGGTAACAGTGAGATAAAGGCGAATTCTTTGAGTTTGGTTAACAATAATTTCCAACCATTGGTGAATGAGATTAATGGAACGAATGCGAATAAGGTGAATGTTGAAATGCCAAATACTACTATTAGTATTGGAAACAGTAATCCGTGGAGTAATAAGCCATATATCAAAATTGATTTTAAAGAAGATGAAATGGTGTTATCTGATGATGGTAAAGCAGTTAGGATGGATGAAGAAATGGAGATTTCGAATTCAAAGAAATTGTTGAATTCAGTGGTTATTAAGGTGTTTGGAAGAGAACTAGCTTCTCATTTGGTAGCTTGGGAAATCAGAAAGCAATGGAGTCACTTGGGCCAATTTCATTTTACCACTTTAGGGAGAGGGTGATTCTTATGCTCTTTTAAATCGGAAGAGATGATGGAAGCTGTTCTTTCTGGAGATCCGTGGTTTATTAATGGACACATTGTTGGGATGGAGAAATGGTCTTTAAAGTTTTCTGCTTTATCCATGAAGGGTCTAACCGTACCTCTCCTATATGGGTTAGAATGCCTAACTTGCCTTTGCAATGTTGGGATGAAGTTAATATAGCAAGAATTGCTTCTAGAATTGGCACACCTTTGATGATGGATGGGAATTTATTCCAATGGGGAGGGAGGGAATTTGCTAGAGTTTGTGTTCGGGTGAAGCTTAATCAACCTCTTCCATTGGGAGTTTGGGTGGATAGCATTTATGGGAGGTTCTTTCAAAAAGTTGAGTATGAGAAAGTGACCAATCTTTGTTTTGAATGTGGTTTGATTGGGCACTTGAAGGATGAATGTGAAAAAATCAGGAACAAGCCCAGGGAGGTGAAGAATGTTGATAGTAACAATGGAGAAGTTGCTGAAGGTAGTAATTCGCAAGATAAAGTTGATGAACCATCCTATGGTCCTTGGATTCTTGTCAATAACAAGAAAGGGAGAAGGACTATTCAAAGAAGCAATGTGGTGAAATCCAACAAATCTATATTTGTTAAGAAGAATGGCAATTTAAATTCAGTACAAAAGGAACATTCTTTTCCTTCTGATAACAGGAAAGACTCTTCCCTCACAAAGATAGCTGATTTGGGTAATAAAGAACAGTTAGAAGAAGGAGAACTGGCTTTGGAAGTGGATCGGCAAAATGATTCAGAGGCTGGAGCTGATGCTGTGGTTAGAGCAGGCTCTTCTGTTAATTGCAAGGAAGGTTCTGAAGTTGTTATGGGTACGATCTCTGTTCCTGTTATTTCTAATATATCAAATTTTGTTAATAAATTTGATATTCTGAATTCTGTCAATGAAAATAAGCTAAATGAAGAGGAAGTAAGTGTGGAAAATGTGTGGAAGTAAATGAGGAAATATGTGATGGTAATATAGTGAGGTTGAACAAAGTTGTAGATGTTGACAATAACAATGCTAGAAGTATTATGGGAAAAGACAGAAGTTCTAATGGGGAGATTAACAAGTTGAAGTTAGCTAAGGAGCTGAAATCTCTTGGTCCTATCAAGAACATTTCGAGAGGGAGACGTTTTGATGGTGGTGGTAACAAAAGGAGGGAAGGGGCGGCATCCCCTAGGATGCATCAATGAATTCAATAGCTTTTTGGAATTGTAGAGGGGCCAAGAAAAGAGAGGCCTCTCTATATCTCAAGGAGGTGATTAAAGATCAGGGTATTTTGTTTGTGGGCTTAGTGGAAACTAAGATCAATGCTTTTGACAAAGTTTCCTTTGAGAAGATTATGGGAGCTGATTGGGATTTCTTTCTTCTTCCATCTGATGGCTTTTCCGAAGGTATTATGATGTTGTGGAGGTCGGACTTAGCTTCTTTCTCAGTTTTAAAGGAAGCAGATCAGTGTATTATTGGAGACCTCAATGTCTTTAATAAAGGGGTGTGGATGATTGCTACTATCTATGGCAATAAGGAAGTTATTAAGAGGAGAGAGTTATGGGGGAGTTTACATGAGGTTTCTAATAGAAAGATTCCTTTCATTGTTGGGGGAGACTTCAATTGTATTTTGTCTCAAGAAGACAAGAGGGGTGGAAGAAAATTTGTTTTTTCTCAAGGTCCCAAAGAGATGGCTGATTTCTTAAATGTAAATGACTTACATTATGTGGGATTTATTGGTTCAAGATTCACTTGGTGTAACAACAAATTAGGAGGAGATCGTATACTAGAGAGATTGGACAGGTGCTTTCTTAACTCTTTAGCCATTAATGGTGTTCAGGTAGCTGTGGTAAGACACCTTGCTAGAATAGCTTCAGATCGTTGTCCTATAGTCTTGAAGATCTTTGATAATTCTTATAAAGGAATGGGATGCTTAAATTTGAAGATGTTTGGATCTCTTATAAAGCTTCGTCCTTTATTATTGCTAGAGTTTGGAGGAAGGAGTACCAAGGAAGTGATATGGAAATTCTCAATAAGAAATGTAAGAAAGCATTGAAGGAATTATTTTATTGGAGCAAGGCAAGAATCAGGGACTTTTCTTTGGAGAAGGAGAAACTGAAAGAAGAAATCTCTCAGATTCATGAAGAAGAGGCTTCGGTGGGGTGGCTAACTGAGGAAAAGCTTTGGATGCTGAGATCAAAAGTTAAAGAACTTAATTTGGTTCTTTCACGATTGAATACGTGGTGGAGACAAAGAGCAAATGCTAAGTGGATAGAAGAAGGTGATACTAATTCTAAATTTTTTCATTCTTTTGCAAACACTAGAAGAAATGGAAAAAGGATTTCTCAAATTAAGAATGATGAAGGAGTACTCACAGAAGATCCTGAAGAGCTGCATAAGGAGTTTTATAATTTTTTTCAAAACAAATGGAAGAAAAGGAGCTGCTGCACTGTTAATTGGCCAAACCCATTATCTGTGCTGGATGATGTTGATAGAAGAAGGCTGGAAGTTCAAATCTCAGATGCGAAAATTCTGGAAGTTATCAAAAGGCTTGACAAAAACAAAGCACCAGGACCTGATGGTATAATGTATTCTTTTATTAAAAATTACTGGAGCATTGTAGGTATTGATGTATGTAAAGTTGTAAGAGAATTTTTTTATTCAAGAAAAATGAGTAGTGATTGGAAAGAAACACTTATTGTGTTGATACCGAAAATTACTAATCCATTATCTCCTGAAGGATTCCGTCCAATCAGCTTGTGCAATTTCATTTATAAAGTTGTTGCTAAGGTTTTGTTGAACAGGCTTTTGGTGGTAATCCCAAAAGTTATTTCAGAAGAATAGGTTGTTTTTTTAAAGGGGATAAGTATTTCAAATCATTTATTGCTGGCTCAGGAATTGTTTTATAAAATCATGATTTCAAAATCTAATGGAGGTTCGGTTGCCATCAAACTTGACATGGAGCAAGCCTATGACAGCATGTGTTGGACTACCCTTTATGAGATGATGAGTAGATTGGGTTTTCCCATGAAATACATGGACCTGGTTATGGAATGCATTATGGAGCCTAGATTTATCTATTATCATCAATGGTGGTTTATCAAAATGGATTGTGGGGAGGAGTGGTTTCCTTCAGGGATGTCCATTATCCCCTTTTTTATTCATTATCTGTTCCCAATTGTTATCTAATTTTCTTTCACAGGAGGGAAAGGACTTAGGCATCAAAGTTGCGGCTAGATGTCAGAAGATATATAATTTGCTTTATGCAGATGATGTCCTTTTGCTATCTGATGTTAAGATTAAAAGCATCAAGAAGATGAATATTATTTTAAGCAATTACTGTGGATGGACTGGACAAAGATTGAATCTTAAAAAATCTGCCATGGTTATTAGCAAAAATGTTGAGAGAAGAAGGAAGAAGAAAATTGCAAAAATCCTGGAGATTAAGGTGGTAGAAGAACTTGAATATTTGGGAACAAAGTTGGCTTTAAGAAGACTGAAGAAGGCAAACTTTCAATTCTTATTGGACAAATCATTGAAGATCTTAAATTCATGGGGAAATAGATATATTTCTCTGGCTGGAAAACTAGTGCTAGCTAATTCAATTTTTTGTAATCTGCCATTGTTTTTAATTTCTCATTCCCTTATTCCTTTAAGTGTGCTGAGGGAATTTGAGAAAAACTGCAGGAATTTCATTTGGAACAATCAAGAAGGGAAACATGGATTGCATTATTTGGCTTGGGAAGATCTGTGCAAACCAAGAACAGCCGGTGGTTGGGGACTTCACTCAGCAATTTCTAGTGTTGAAACATTGAGAGCTAAATTCTCATGGAATCTGGTAGTTAATCCAAATTCTCTATTAAATAGAAATCTCTTGGTCAAATACGGGGAAGACTGGTGGAAAAAAGATGTTATTAAAGGAGGTTCTTCGGCATGGAAGATTATTTCTAGTGGTTGGAATGCTATGAAGAATATTATCATATGGAATGTGGTGAAAGGAACTCATATAAATGTATTGAAGGATGTTTGGATATTGGACAAATGCTTACTCAAATGGCCAACCTTTGTAGTTACTTTTGAAGATGCTAATATCACTCTTGACTCTTTTATTCTAGATGGCAGATGGAACTTGGAGAAGTTACTACTTTTTTTTGGGGAAGACTTGGTAAATGTTATTAGTAACATCCAAATACATCAAGATGAAGAGGCGGATTTTTTGGATCTGAAATATAAATTCTCAGGAAAAACAATTGCTGCATTGATTAAAGAAGATACGGTGAAGATGGCTGGTGAAAATCTGTACTTATGGATCCATAAGTTGAATTTATATGCAAGGGTGGAAGTTTTCATTTGGAGACTATGTAAAAATGCCATTCCAACAGCAGAATTTCTGATGAGAAGAAGATTATCAAATAGTAGTTTGTGTCCAAGAGGATGTGGAGAGGTGGAGAATGTGGACCATATAACTTCTAACTGTCCAAAGCTGATAAAAGTAATCTGCATTCTACGAGAATGGGGTTTTCATGTTCCTCTTTTTTATTCTTTTCAGCAGTGTATGAAGGAGCTAAAAGTTTTATCTAAGAAGAATCCGATGATGGTAAAGGTCTATTTTAATTTGTTATGGATTTCCTGGAATGATAGAAATAAAACAAAACATGGCAAGAAGGAAGACGGTGAGACTGTTTTGGCTGCAAATGTGATTAGCCTTGTCGCAATGGATAAACGGCACAAAGTACTCTCGGAAAACTGGGATGCTTTTCAATTCACTGGATTGTCTAAAGATTTTGCATCCTCCACCACCCGAGTGATACAAGATTAACATTGATGCTATGTTGAGGAGTAATTATGGAGCGGGCATTGGAGGAATTGTTAGAGACCATAAAGGAAGATTTGTCCGTGCTTTTGGTTTTTATGGGATGCATTGGGATATAGTTCAACTGGAACTTTTTCCTTTAAATCTTTAAAAGGTCTATTTCGTAATTGTATTGATAATGCCAAAGGTGTTATCATAGAGGGGGACAATAAGAATGTCATTCAATTTCTTCATAACTTGTACAGCAAAGAGAAGAAGATACGTGGTGACATCAGAGATGAAGATTTCTTTTGTTTGAGGTATGGGAATAATGTCATTTTTAAATACATTGGTAGAAATCGTAATAGGACACACTACAGGAAAACTGCCCATTACCGGCGGAATTTTCCGGCGGAGTTCCGACGGAATTGTTTCCGGCGGGTTTTGCGGCGAATTTCCGACGGATAAAGGGCAATTTTTTTCGACTTATTTTTTCGACAGATTTTCTGACGGATTTTCCGGCGGATTTTTAATGTTAAATAATTTATTGTTAAATTAAATTAATAATTTATTGTTAAATTAAATTAAGTAGTTTAATAATTTAATGTTAAATAAAATTTTATTTCTTTTATCTTTCAAAAAAACTTTTAAAATAATTATTACTTTTAAAATTTAATAAGAAGCTGGTATTAGTTAAATAAAATAAAGTACAAACTTTATCAGGTTTTATCTAAGGAGAACATGGTAGACGGAGCACGCGGGAAGCCTTTGCGCGCGGAGGAAAGTGGGCGGGGTTCGAACCATGGCGAAGGCAGACCGAAGGTGTGTTAGCAGGGCTTCCCACGCGGCACTGCATGCGCCTGATTGGGCTGGCTTGGCCCTGTTAGGGTAAGGCAGGCTAGGGCTGGCTTATGCTGTAAATTGAGGCAGCGGCTGGATTGGCGGGCCGGTCAGGTTCTAATAATTTTTTTTTTTTTTCTTGATCTTCCGGCGCAGAAATAATCCGCCGGAAATATTTTCCTGCGGAAAATCCGCCGGAAATATTTCCGTCGAATTATTTTACGCCGGAAGTCTTTTATCGACGCGCGTCAAACCGGCGCAAATTTTTCCGCTGGAAATCCGTCGGAAATCCTAATTTTCGACGGATTTTGGCCAATTTTCCGGCGAAAATGGCTGTCGAAAAATCACCTTTTTCCTGTAGTGACAGCTGATTTTTGTGCTAACCTATCCTTTACTTATGATTTTATTTGGGACATTTTTAGTGAGAGCTCTCTTCGTGCCTCCTTTGTTAAGCTTGTAAAGGAGGAAAGTTGTTTGGAGTTAGCTCTCATTTAGTTTGTATCTAGGCCTTGCTTTTTTTTTTAATTAATCTAATGTTGATAGCATTTCTTTCAAAAAAAAACAAGAAATTCTATTTAAAAAAAATATAGGCCAACAAAAAACTATTTAACTATAGATGATCTATAATAGCATAATAGCTTTTAAACAGAGCATCTAATGACAATAAATAGCCTCTATTAATCTAAATCAAATAATACGAAAGCTCCAAACTATGAAATATAGCCTTAGTGGACATTTCTTGCATCTTAAGATTTTATGTACGAATCATTCATATTGAATTTAGATTCAATTTAACTTTTAATTTCTCATGTTTGAGATTAAGCTTCATGCAAACACTTTAGAGTATAAATAATATATAAATTTGATAATTACATTGATAATGTTCAGCTAACTGTTGACCTTATTTTTTGTATGAGGTCACTATGACCAATCAAGATCCCAGATCTACCTAGACCCTATGATCAATCCAGTTCAAATCCATATTTTCAAATCCAAAATCTTAGATTCAAAGGCCTATGTCCTAGAGGCCTTTTTAGTATTTTTTCAAACAATTTAAAACCTAATCAAATGACCTCTGATTCAGAGTCTATCAATTACATATTGATATAATATATCTCTAGAAGCAACTCTCTAAATTTTAGCCTACTCTGAGGCCTATAACCTCAGAAATTAAATCTCTCTATAGGCTGTAAAACCTTCACATATTTATGGCTTATGTCACTCGACCTACCACCTAGTAGATTTTGACCTTGGAGCCTTTTCCAAACCTTCTGATCATATTCAGAATCTTGATTATGATGTGTTAAGTATTAAATTGCATTTTGTTAGACTCACTTTGACCCCCAGTTAATCAGGAGTCAAAATAACAAAAATGCCCCTTAAGGATAATTTTAGAGTTTTTTTATAGACTTCAACATAGCCTTTTAAAATCAAACCTCACAACCTCTTCAAATGCATCCTAATCACCATTAAGAGTATAATGGACTAAAACCAAGGCCCTGGCCAATCTTTCTTGGCCAGGTCAACACTTCTGACCAAAATACCTCTCAAGGGTTTGAATACACATTTCAAACCAAATGGCATCCTCTTTGCTTGAGACCAGTTCCAACAATTTTTAAATTTCAAACCAAACCTATTGGACCCAATCTAGGCCATGGATCAACCTGGATAACCAAGTCAACCTAAGTTGATCAAATAGTCCCTTTAGGGTTCAAATAGTCAATTTGTTTGAATTGACCTCCATAGGCCTTGGGAACACCTCCATTGGCCTCTAAATGTCATTTCAAATCTGTTAAACTTAATCCCAGATCTTAGGTCAACCGACTTGACAAAGTCAACCAGGATTGACCTAAAAATCCCCTTTTTAGGGCCCAAATAGGTGATTTGACCCAAATGACCTTCATGATCCCTCAAACCACCTCCACCAGACTCTAGATGACATATCAAACCAGGTTGACCAACTAAACCCTTAAGCATTTCTTACATTAAATCAAACTCCATATGTACTCAAATCCCATCAAATCTCTTTTGAAAATCTTCCTCGATGATTTGGACTTGACTGGACCCTTGACCAGTCAAAAGTTGACTTGGTCAACTTAGCCCAAGTTCAATCAAATGAGACCTATTTAGGTTAAATTTATTCACTCATTCAATTCAATCCATCCAAATCAATTTCAAACTTCAAATCAAGTTCAATCCATGGTTTAAATATGTCATAATCCTTAGCTGATTAAACCCAAGCAAAATTGACCAAGTCATTATTTTGATTTTAGTTAAACTTGTATGTTTAGATCAAAACCACCATATGCATTTGATCAAATCTCTATAAAGCTTTCAAATCATTTCTATTAATGCATTGAACCCTGCCAAATGCACCATGAGCCAAGTCATGGTCATTTGGACCAAGTCAACACGTTTAGACTCGGTCAAACTAGCTTAAACTCCCTTCCATGCCTCCAAGCCTCACTCCTAGGCATCAAATCCTCTTCAACTTATCACTCCAGCATCCAAAGCCCTCACCCATGACACCTCATCTGTCATGTGGTATGTGAATTAGTCAAATGGCCAAATCAAGTATTTAAGAGGGTCAAATTTGGTCAAATGACCTATTTAAGTTAATCCCTCCCTTCTTAAACCACACAGAAGCTTTAGAACCTTCCCACAAATAATTCCAACCCCTGGATTGAAATCAAACGACTCTCTTTCACTCCCATGTGGATTAAAGAACAAAAGGGGCTTTCCACCTCATTTGTACCTTTGTCCTTTGATAACCCTGCTCCCAACCACTCCTTGGACAAATGGCATCCATCTTAGAGTTCTCTCAAATGATCTCAGCCGTTCATTCGATCTGGAGAGGTTTGAATAGCATAAAGCCTACAAACTAAGGCTCATTCTAACCTAGCCTCTATCTCTCCACTCCAGACTCTCTAAGCTCGACCTGCAATTCTTTTGAGCTCCCCTGAATCTACCACACATTCCCCACTCAAAATCTATTGTCAAAACCCCATCCGTGACTAGCTTTCCAGCAAGCCCAAGGAATATCTATCCTAGGCATTGTTTGGTCCAATCCGTAGCTCCTCCAGCCACGACCTCAACTAAGGAAATGCTACAATCTTAACTGAACTGAAATCCCAAAGATTTAACGATGAAATTTCTTAAAACTCTTAGCCCTAGGTCACATAGTATAGGGTTAAATAACTTTTCATTAAGTGCTTTTTAAATCATTAAAAAGTTCGCCATGATTTCTATTCACTAGCTCTGCTTGAGTTTAAAATTTCAAGACATTTTGTTAATCCAATTAAGAGAATGAGATAAAAAACTTGTTCTGGGGTCGATCTACGTACCCCTGCCGTTAAATAAATCAATGGTCTGGATATAGCCATTATGTGGCATTTCTAAACTATGGATTTGGTCCCACGATTATTTCATTGATCCGTTGTGATCAATGTCGTTCATGCCATACAACAGACGATTGGATGGCTGAGAAAGCGCGCCTATGTGGTTAAGTGAGGCTTGTGGGATTCACCGTCACTAATCATATGATAACGATTGCACCGTCGTGCAATCATTGTCGATGATTGGCCGCATTTAGTATCGACCAATCAGATCCAACCGCGTGGCCTTCAACGTCGTTAGACCTATTATCATTTTAACTATAGATTATTTTAAGAAATTAAAAAAATCAAATTTAATCCAAAAAAATAATATAAAATATCAAAATGTTCAATTTTTAAATTCTTTAATTTAAAATACTTTATATATTAAAAATTACTTCAAAAACTAAATATTTGATATTTTTAATTTAATTAATATTTAATGAAAAAATAATATATAAGAAATTTATCTTCAGCATATACTTAAATAATATTTAGACCAATGCTTTTAAGAAAGAGATATTAAAAGAGAAATGTTGAGGAGGTTTTGGAGAGAAAGAAGAGAAATTAAATATGAATTGAGGAGGATTAAATAAAGGATAAATGGAAAGGAATTAAGCGTTGGGAGAGCCAATGACTTGACTCATCAACTTTTTTTTCTTTTACTTATGATGATCATGTGATGTCTAAGATTTATTTGAATTTCTTTATTAGTTGTACTTCTTCTTAATGGAAGTTCGAATATTTCAATGCTTTAGCTATTATAACAGTGTTAATCAAATTAGGCTTCATTTGTCACAGCTTTCTTTTTAT